CCTCCATGCCTGCTGCTGAGTAAAACCCACCACTGTGAGGGACAGACTTGATTAAGGATGCACAGACTCCCCCCATTGAGAAACACAAGATACTGTAGTGTAAGAGGATGCATGTGGTGCCGAGGTCACACACTCTGCCTTGCTTTTTAACCAAATTCTGAGTACATACAACTCCAAGTCTCAGCTAGTAGATAAAAAGGCACATCTTTACATGAATCTTACAACAGACAACCTCTTTTAGGATTCTGCAAACAGCTTTTTTCCTCAAATATCAAACAAGGTAAGGCTACTACTTGGTCAAAACATACAAACAAAAAACACAGGGCACAAAAACCACACATTTATCCACCAGACAACCCAAACAGACTGACACATCCTCAGAGGTAACCTGCTGCCCGTCTGCTTCCCCACAAATGAACTTTCTAAAGTAATATTTGCTCATTTCATAAAAACACAGTCATGTACTGATGATGAATGGATGACATTTTTATTATTACATGCACTGAGGAAACACCAAGGGGAAAATTATATATTACATACTGAATCCCAAGTAGTGTATATATCCAAGATCAAGTTCCAAGAGGCAAACGTTAATCCAAAACAAGGTTGAAACAAGCTTTCTGAGAGCAAGTCTGCACATGTACGGCAGGATGTTGCTGCCATCAGAACAAATAGCAAGACAACAAATCTTTTAGATAAAAAAAAAAAAAAAAAAGTATAATAACCTTTCTTTATCTCTGGATGGATGGCTGGGTATGTATGTACTTTCCCTGTGCTCCTCAGTTTCAGCATCACACTGTTATACCAGATGGCTGCACAGTTATAAACAATGTTTTCCCATTGTGTACCATTAAGCACTTTCACAGTGGCAGTTTGGGTTGAAGTGCCGAGCTAAAGGATGCTTCAGCAGTTGTTGTGGATGGACAGAGAATATCTGGTGCCCAGAATTTCCCATCCAGTCTGAAGCGGCACTGGGTGGTAACACCTCTACAATGGTGTTATTATTTTGTTCGCCAGTAATGATTAGATACTACTTCTGTTCTGGTAGTGATATTAAATATTTAAGTTGTTTTTTTGCAAGCCACCCTTCTAAAAAATTAAGTTACTGTTTGTTATCATCCTAACTTAGTACTTTGTCAGACTGAAGTTGAATTATTGAAAAAAATGTGCCCCATCCCGGTTTTATGTTCAAACACACTCATGTTCAGACTAAATCATAATGTGAGACTTACACGGGCATACAGGTACAAAAAGGGGAAGACTTTTAAGGTTCACCAAATAAAATGTTGGTGTCAAATACTTTATGTAGGTGTACTGTAAGAATTGAATACAAAAGAGAAGTAAGATGGGTTTTATATGTTATATTTTGTACATAATATGCCTTTAACTAAGCCTTGTTAAAATGATAAGCAAGTATTTGTTTAAAGTTATCACAGGGCCTCCTCTCACTTTCAAAAAAAGTCATACTGTTAATCAAGAGATAAGATGTAGGTAAATAAACCCAGCATACTTCTCTAACATCTGCAACCACTGCTGAAGGTGACCGATACAGTAAGATATTTCTGAACACGACATTATCAGCATGCTGTATTAAAAACACATCCAGACCTACTGTACCATACAACTATTTATTTTGTAAAGCCACATGTTGTTCGTTGTCTTTTCTTCAGTAGGAATTTGTTTGTTTGTTTTTTTGTTTGAGTGTGCACGTATTGGCTACACTTTGACTGGAAAAGAGAGGAGCAATGAGCCACACCTTGGTGACCTTCTTGGTGACCTTGGTGTCGGTCCAACAGGATGTTTACCCGTGAGAATTCACACTTCCAAACAGGATTTTTCTCACTATAGCCAAAACTAAAATGAAATAACACAGTTAATATGTTAAATAATTTTCACTCTACTAGGATTGATGAACCCAAAATTTAATTTAGAAAGAGAAAACAGAAAAAGGTTTAGTTACAATAAGCAGACACCACACAGTGCTGTTTGGTGAATTCATTCAAAAGACAATCTTCCTAAATAACCATGTTTAGTTTTATTATATTTGAACCTCACACACAATAAATACAAAGAACACTGTAAAGTTTCAAAATTATTTTAAGCTTAGAAAAGCATCAGCATTCTGGTGGAGGAACTCATGGCTCAACAAATGTCCAGATTTCATCACTATCAACAGACAAACACTAGTGCCATTTCATGAATTTATTGAAATTCCGTGATTTCAGTATAAAAGTAATACTTTGTTTTCATATTTCTGCATTGCCTATTGTCCCAACAGTACTAATAGACTAAAAATAACCGACCCTTTTCCTCTTTAATTTGCTATAGGAGAAAACTCTCACAAGCAGTGGAGGCTGACAAAGCTGCTGAGACCAGGATTTTGTTACTGGGACAATGGTGGTTTTGATCTTCAACTATTCAGATTGTCAAACTGGATGGTAACACACAACCTTTGCTCTGACATCATACAAAGCTACCCCAAGGACGCGTAGCTCTGACTGAATAATGAATCAAAGTGAAACACAAAGATGACTGCCAGCCTATTTAAATGCTCTGCTTCAGAAAAAAGAAATTTCACCCTGGACCAGTGACTAGGCAACATTTGTGCTAATGCCATTAAAGCTTGTCTTTCTTCCCACTCGCACGTAATGTAAATATTCATCTGCGCAAAGGACTGGGAATAATTACTGATCTAAGAAAAAAGTCATTCTATGAAGAACTGAAATGCTTTTATTTTCAATAACAATTATGTCTCCTCCATCACTTTTCATAACTCTGTGTTTGAAGGGATAAATAATAACCTTCCCATCTGCACAGCAGGTAAGATTAACCGGAAAAAAAAATAAATTAGCACTTTAGAAAAAGCACAATGACCTTCTTCAGTTTGCTAAAAAAAAAAAAAAAAACCACCTTGGAGCTCTGGGTGAGGAAACAAAAGTGAATAGTCTCTTCACACATAAAGATACTTCAGACCACTTTTACATAACCATGAAAACACAGAAGAGTCATATGACATGACCTGTTCACATTTATGAATTTCGCTCATTGTGAATGTGTAACTACTGTAGAAATATATTAATATCTGTCTGGTAATTAACCGTTTGTAGCCTTTAATAAAAATAAAAAAAAGATTTAAAGTTTTTCCATTGTGGTTTATTGCATTTAAATGTGTTTTATGTAACTTAAGCCAAGCACTCTGAACTCTATGTATTATATTTATAAAAAGGTACAAATAGTTTCCTGTTATACAACTAAAATAAAAACTATTTTGATTTCAAGCAACAATATAGATTTGAAGTGAATATTACCTCTGTAATACAGTATGTACCTCTGTTACCTCTGTGACAGACAAAAAAAAAAAACTGCACGTTATAAGCTTCACAACAGTTTATCAAAGGGCTATTTTATTTAATAGCAATTATTTTCTTTGTGCAGGTCTGTGTAAGTTTACTGAGTGAACTTCTAAGGATTTAAGCACATTAGTACATTTCAGCACTCAGCTGATAATGTTTGTACCATTTCTCCTTGTGTATGGTGCATCTACTTTCTAGGTGCATCAAACCTCCTTGTCCTCTCGAGTTACACTGGAGCACAACAACACGCTGGTTCCCTCTAAGAAAATGTAGGGCAAGATTCTCCTGTCACTACATTGCTGAACAAGTTTTACACTCGAAAGCTTCTTAAAAGGCTCAAAAGCTTAGCAACAGGCTCAGCTGTAATAGCACAAGGGTGTTTAATGCCTACTAACATCCCCTGTCACTCCCGTTGTCTTTCATCCCTGTTTTGAAAGCAAATGCTTTCATTTTTATCTCTATTTGTGGCTCATACACACGTTTCTGAGTGAGCATAGGTCTGTGTCTGTAAAAGTTACTGAGGAGAAAAAAGCAGACAGAGCACAAAAGAGGTTGATTCAAAAGAAGTAAATCATCGTACCTGTATCCACTTGTCAGGAATGGCCATAGCCAGGCGGTAATCAAAACCAAGTCCTCCCTCCTCCACTTTTCTGCAGAGAGCAGGCATCCCTGACACATCCTGCAGAAAGTCACACTATTTCATATCACATTTTCTCTTTGTGTGCACAGGTGTCTTTCCCAGTAGCCAGCCAAGGTCACATCAATACCACTCCACAACTCACAGATTACAGAGAAAAAACCACAAGCCAAGAAAGGAGTGATCCCATTTTCTTGTGTGTTACTTCTTAATTACACCAATGAATACGTAAGTGAGCGATGCCTAACTAATAAGTGTTTTTAATTAATAGTAGCTGTGGGCAGTGTCATTGTGAAGTACAAAGGTGCTGAAGAAGTGTGCAGCAGAGTGTGTTTTTACCTCTGCAATAGTGATGCAGTCAGGATAAAGGCTATGAAGTATTTGATTGGCAAGCATCAGGTAAACCAAAGAGTCTTCATCCACCTGTAGGCCAAAGTACTCGCTGTAGTCCCCAGAGAAGCCTGTGCCTGAGGAGTAAACACCTCCACAGTCAGCACTCTTCTAAAAATCTTCATCCCCCTGTGCTACTACTGCTTAGCTTCATATCTTTGATATTTTTCTGAACAGTCCGTAATATTAAGGAATGCATATATTTTTCATGCCTCACTTTCAGGCTCATTCATCTCTCACCTCTCACTGATTCATTATCTGTTCACAAGCAGACAAGCTACCTAGTTTTGGCCTTACTGTTTAACAGTCTGGAGTCTGTGGTTCATACTGCACTGTGGGTTTCAAAGAAGAAGAGGATGACGTGCTTTACACACACTAGCTGTTGCTAGTGTGTGTAAAGATGCACACAAACAGGCCTTACCAATGCCATGGTGATGGTACAGCATAGAGGTAATGCCATCAAACCTGAAGCCGTCAAAGTGGTACTCCTCCATCCACCAGCGCAGGTTTGACAACAAGAACCGCAGTACTTCCCAGCTGGCAAAACACAACAACAAGCACACACACAAGGTCAGATAAACAAGCTGTGAATTATTTACATATCTCATCATGCACTTTAGGCACCAGCGATTAATTTTCACAACTACAGGAGATTCACATATGGATAACAGAAGCTCCATTATGCAGGGGATGGAGTGTCAGTGACAGGAGGTGGTGTTTTCATTAACTATACTGTAGAGAGGATGCTGTCTTTTACGTGTGTGGTGAGAAATCTGCAGCTTACAATACACAGCAAAGTTTTCTGGTTTCCATCAGACCACTTGCATGACCACTGGGCAAGTGTTTAGTAGAGGCAGGCCCATTCTTGTGTATTTGAACCGATAGCATTTCATGCTACACTTGGGTAAACAAACACCATGCGGGGGAATTGAGTTCCCTCTCCTGGGAATGAGATAAGACATACACTTCTACTTGCTCTGGCTTCCATCTTCAACATATGACGAGAGTCTCTGTCATACAAGCAAGAGGGCAAATACTCTGGGGGACAAAAATGGGTGAAACCATCAACTTGTGGTTGCGTTCCGTTACCCACAGCGAGCAAAGCATACAAATGCACTCTGTGCCTGTTGGCTGAACTGTACTGGTGGAGGCTGGAGGAGGCAGATTCCATAAATGGCCCCAGCCCTTGTTCCTGACTGAGCGATCAGAGAGTCATCTGGATCTGAACAGCCTCTCAAGGCAAAGTACACTACCCACCTCACCTCTTCCCATCCAGTGGTGCGTTGCCATGGAAACGTCAGTAAAACTCAACATTCGGTTGTCCCTATGTGGTGCGCATAATGAGCACCAGATGAAATATTGTTACACGAATGCCATGCTGGAAAGCAGCAGCCAGCGCCAAGGATATGAGACAAATGCCACATTCATGACACTGATTAAATGTGAACTGCTGCTTCTGCTTAGGCTGAAATTCAAAACTCAGGTGTTGTCTGTAGACTCAGCCGCAGTAACAGTTGTAACAATACCTATGGGCATCATATATTTTTTAAAAATAGTTTTGCAACAAACTGGCACCTATTATTTGTCTTAGAAGCACATTCATAACTTTTTTCAACAAAGGTTTTACAAAATATGATTTGTCCTCAAGAGCTTCACATAAACCTCTACTGAAACAAACCATTTATGGTTTAATAACATAAAACTATAAGTATTCATGATGCACTAAACTCACTAGCTGCACTACTGTCTCCTCCCTTATACACCCTAGAGTCCTGTGCCTATCTACTGCTGTGCTTTTATTAATTGGACCCTTCGTGGTCAACAAAATATATTTATTAAAAGTTTATTTTTTAATATAAAAAAAAAACAACAACTATATAGCTCCTATGAATGTTTACCGTCATCACAATGGGCATGTGCTTTGTCAACTTAAGAATTTCTTGTGCCATTTTTATCTGGCATTGTCTGAATGGACACTAGGTGACAGTGTTGCTCCATTTTTATGATGTTCTGAATTATTTACAATAAAGAACTAAAGAAATTTCCAACATTTTCTTCTACTATCACCTATGCCATCTTCTAATATCCATATTTATCCCTCTACACCTGAAAACCTCTGTTATGCTTGTATTTTAGCAAGAGGGAGATTTGTCGTAGTAGAATATATTAGTAACGTTTGGGATAAAAGACAACGTTCTTTGTTTGCATTGTATATATGAAATTACTGAAGAAGTTTTTGTCTGACAAATGTTTCACCGCTGTATTTTTGCTGTATTAGAAATGCACATGGATTTGCATGTGCATGACACTATGATACGCCAAGATAACGTAACATACAGAAAAGTAACTGGACTCAAATTGTTGGGTTGGTGAAATCTTTCTTGTAATGGTCTTAAGGCTTGTGGGAAATTGCGTTCACTAAATGCGCTATAGTGAAGATACACTATAGAGGTGGCTTTGTAGTAGTTCGCATTATTAAAGTTATTATTAAAATTTGTTGAAGCAATGAGAAGTCCCAGATTCATGATTCAGTAACATTTCATAATGCAAAAATCCATCCAAACACTAGACAAGTCTTGTTCTTAATAATACCTCCTCTTTAAAATATATCAATTCATCTCCTTAATGCTGCAGTGCAAAATACTGAGGACTACATCCTCTACTGCAAAATACAAAATCCTAGATTTGTTTGACCAAGTACAACATGAGACAAAAAATATTTAAATGTGCTGCCTTCTGTGCTCCATTCTTGAGGGATGACCAGCCCCAGCGCTGTTTGACAGGTGTGAAGCTGCATGTTACATTAGTGCTTCCTCCTTCCCTTGAGGAAGAGCACAAGGGAGCCTGGTATGATCTGATATAGCAAGCTGACTGGGTGGTCATGCAGACCCTGTGATAAATAGATTAGGCCCTCCACTCCAATGCACAGAGCCAACAAAGGCTCAGATCCAATGTACCCTCATGGGATGGAGATAATAGCCAGCGAGAGCCAGAGGCCCAAGATGAAACCATACTGCCACATTAGGACCTACAATGCCATTCATCATCAACTTGAATTACAGTGAGAAAGTTAAATCTCAACACCTGATGCAGTACACTGCTTATCTACGTACAGCAGTTCAATGAAGTTGAATTGCTGTGGTGGTGATATAAAAGCAAACTGCATATTACAAAGTAAAATGGTCTTATACTTGTATAACGCTTTTCTATGCACTGCAGCACACTCAAAGCGCTTTCACACTATTTGGTCATTCACCCATTCGCACTCCCAAGCACCAACACAATCACGCACCGGTGTCTTGCTCAAGTACACTTCGACATGTGGACCGGACAGCCGGGAATCGAGCCGCTAATCTTCCAGTTAGGAGATGACCCGCTCTACCTCCTGAGCCACAGCCACCCCAAAGTCTTAACTCTAAAGCTTAGCAATGACAGTGAAACCTGGTTAGGGAGCTGTAATAGAATATATCTCTAATAATGCTGCTTGTAAAATAAGGAAGTCTATCATATGTGCTGTTGTTTTATCTGCAAACACATACTGCCACACAAGTCCCTAAAAGATCATTCAAAAGCCTCGTTCTACCAGATTGTTTGGATGTGTCATCAAGTCTCCACCACATCAGTTTCATGCTTAACTGCTCCTTATCAGAGTTTGTTTCCTCCTCCAGCTGAACACGACTGTGACCCGTACTACAGTATTTCCGTTTGGTTGCAAGCAGAGCAGATATCAAAGCATCCTATTGCTTCTAGAAGTAAATTGTGCATAAGGGATCGTGGCAACTTTTCATGATGGCAGAGAGAAACATTTAAACTCCTGTGTTCACAACATCACAGGTAAGCTGCAGATAAGACCAAATAAATTTATAAAGCCGACAGGTCATTCCACAAGAAATGTGATGCTCAAACAATGATGCTAGACAGCCTGATGGATGGTGTGCATTTGTTGGACCAAAAAGGACAAATAAGGTGCCTCATTTAACGCATTTCAAACTTCTACCCAGTCCCAGCAGCCATTAATGCATCCAGAACACAGACATTAACAGGAGTGACACATGCAATAAATTCACATTTCATGGTTGAAGGTTGATTTATTTATCTATTCAATCAAGGATTCTGTTTGCAGATACATTAAATACACATATGCACAATAGAGTTTTAAGGATATGGCTCACTGATTTCTATAATGCATTTTCATTTACTCTTGTGACTGAGCATGGACATTTTAATCATGTTTAGTTGTCACTTATCTTTTCATAAACTAAGACAGTTCAGTAAAACAGCTCAATTAGCCAATCAGTGCCATGTGTGTGCTCTGTGCTGGAGAAACACATCTTTACGCTTTGTACCACATTGAAACGCAGCACTCAGATAGTCAGGTGATGCTCACTACCTCAAAGGGGTAAACTCTCAGCTACAGTAGGCGCCGACAGGCTGTCCCTGTATTACTGTGCTTTGGGTCAGATATCGGCCATTTGTCTGGCATTCTTTAGGCAGCCTGGAGGCTAGCTGCTCTTGCTTGGCATCCCGGGAGGGATATTCTGCTGCCTGTGAGACTGGTTATGTTTAGCAAGCTGTAATTAGTCACACCTTGTACTTGCTGTCTTTGAAGAATCAATTGCAGTCTGGCAGGCCAATTCTGCTCTTGCTTTCTCCAGTGGACCATATTAGTAGTGGCAGGATATCTCCGAAGGTGTGTTCTCATGTATAATCAATGAATGTATTTAAATGGAACAGCCACTCTGACAAAGAGATATGCATATTATAGCCATGCCTCCAAAATAACAGCAACACAGTCAGCTGGCGAGCTACTCAGCATCGTGTGTTCAGTCGTGCCTACTTGGGACCGACCGGTTAATTACAAGAATAGGTAGGCCAGAACTTGGCAGCCAGCCTTGAGGGATGGTGCAGCTTTAAACTTTACTCATTATTCCCAAGGTTTTGAAAAATATGAAGGGGGAGGTTGGACAAGCTACAACAAGCACTATTTCCTTAGAAATGTTCTAGTTGTGAAATTCCAGACAGTTACAAAATGGATTGCTACATCTTTGTACTGTAGCTGTAAATGGAACATTCACTGGCAAAATATTGTAAAGCTTAGCAATCCTGTACCGAGCAAGCGAGTATGTCTCAGTATCATGTGAAAGAGCAACATTGTTACTGAGTAAACAGCTGCCTCAACTTAGGCTCTTAAAAAAAATGCTCCTTATAAAAGTTGATTGCCACACAATTCAATTTGCATGATGTTAACATTTATAAAATGCCTCTTCTCTACAACCTACACTCTATAAAATGGGCATTTAAGAGCTAGGATATTCATCTGAATCACATATAAAATTGCCTGGCTGCTCACAGAAGGCTCTGTCTATATGGAGAATGTTTTTGTTATGTGTCAGATAGTTTTAAGGAGCTGAGGGGCATGAAGTTGCAGAACTGCTCGGTTTCCACCCACTGGCTCCATCCAGCACCCTCTGAAAGCACTACAGGCGGCTCCAACAGCAGCCATGCACACCTACAGCAAAGTTGAGCTCATTAATAGAAGCTCACCAGAGGGGAAACACAGCTTTTTCCCCCTGCTGTGCGACTTGGTGGGTCAGGGCAAATCACTCATGGGTACTGAATACCGAAATGATTGCATTTGGACTGAGCTGACACATCAAGTGGGAATTTATTGATTGAGCAGACACTAACCAGGCCCCCAAATGCATTTCAAAGTTACATAAATAAAGGGGAGGTAGAGAGACATTTTAGTTTTTGTGATGCTTTCTGCTCTGGTTCTTTAAAATAAAAGTTATTTTTCACTTGGGCAATTTTTTGCTTCTCTACATGTCTTTCCTTGTGTACAGTTATTATTTTAGAATTTCACAATTTAAGGGATGGTTAACGGACACAATGTAAGGTCCATCCGTTGAAAACCTACAGTGAGGCGATAAATGAAAAAGATACAGACAGACCTCACACTGTCAAAGTTCACGCTTAGGAAATAATAATTCTAACATAATTTGTACTTTAAAAACAGCATAAAATATTATACATTATACTAGCCTGTTGTAATGCCTATATGACATAAGCAGATTTTTTATGGCAGTGACCCTGGTATGGATTAAAAACACTGTTCAGTGCTTTTACATTATATATCAAAGAACCTAAATTACTTGATTCTCCTTTATTTTAGTTCTTGTACTGTAGAATGTACATACAGTACAATCCAAGCATTACTAATCTCCTTTAGTGAATGCATAAGCCACGGTATCTTTTGTACCCATTCATTTAGGATCAATGGCAGCACAGAGGCACAGAATAAAATAAAATTAAAAATAAAAAAAATAAAAAAAATCACTATTTTGTATTGCCTCAGTCTCACATCTTTAACAAGCATTTAATTGTAATAAAACACATATAGAATAATCTTGTCAAAGAGAGAGTTATTGCGCTGTGGTCCTCAAACAGAGTGCCAATCTCTCAGCATGAAAACAGAGAAGAGTTAAAAAGAGTTTTCCAAAGCCTGGCCCTGGGCCTATTTTTATATCTTAAAAATTCACACAAAGATTGATGAAAAATGGATGCAAACGATCCTGAGAGAGGACAGAACAAGCTCACATCAAGCTTCTCAGAACTCTCACATCTCAAGGCCAAAAAAAAAAAAAAAAGCTTGAGTTCTCTGACTGACAACACCCTATACACTGTACCATGGACTCCCTTCACTCTGCCGCTGTCTCAAGGTGACTGACATCTTTGAATGGGTATAGGAGGGAAACAGTGAAAAATAAATCATGCTGATATCCCCTAGTTTGTTTCTGTTCTTCACATATAGCTAAGTTTCCACCTGTAACCCTGTAGATTGCCATAAACATCCTGATAAGTGATTGCAGTTTAAAAAGTCTTTACCAGGTGGTCAAAGGAAATACATGCTAAATGTCCTTGGAAAGCAAAAGGTTCAAGCAAAGAATGTACAGTATTATGCTGCCATCATTCAACTCAAACAAGTAATCTAATTCGACAGCTTAGTAAACAGAAGTTCAAGCTGCTTTATTTAAAGAGATGCCAAGAACCTCTTGACAAAGTGAAAGTCAGTGAAAGCATCTGCAGTACGTGTCCTTACATACGGTATTTTCAATGCAGCTCCGTCCTTCTACTATCAAGTTGGTATTCAGCAACTGCAAAACCACTTCTGGCATTCCTAGAGCCTGAAACCAGTGTTTGCAAAGAAAGACATTCTTAAAATTGAATGCAGAAGCATTTGACTCAGAGGCAACTCAAGTTAACAAATTGGGTAGCAAGCGTCTATTTAAACAGCATTCACTCGAAGACTTGAGTTGAATGTTTTATGAAGAAAGGCTGAAGAAAAGCACACAATAAAAAAAAAGGTGATTTTTGATAAAGACGCACAAGTGAAAGTAACACAAAAGAGGCAGCAAAAAGTAAAATACTTGGCTTCAATAGCCTGTGTCAGTCAGCTTCTGTCAACCTAATACAAACATCATGGTCAGACTGTAAAGGCTGATAGCTGGGCTGCTTGATTAAAATCAAGCTGCGTTTTGCACAAGGTTCTGAAGCTACCCTCTGAGGTTCATTGCCTTCCAAAGGAACTAGCAGAAAAGCTTGACATAAACGACACATCCAAACAACCTGTGGGAGGCAAAGAAGACAAATGAACTTGCTATGACAGTGAAGAGCTCCTTTGGGCTTAATGACTCCTCATATGCCTGCTAGTCTTGACATATGTCTGCACCACATCTAATGAGTCCTTCTGATATGAGAAGAGTTCAATAACTAATAAAAGAAGAACCTTGTTCTCTTATTACCTCCCCCATGCCTGACACTAAGCATTGTATAATGCATTGGAAACTGCTGTACCCCAACACACACACTTATTAAAAGCAAGTTCAAAAACAGCATTTGATAGAGTCAACAGTTCCCATTCATCTTTAATGTGTGCTGGGATCATTTTCTCAGCACAGTGGCGAGAGTAAAGACACTTAATTAACAAGACCTACAACAACACCAGTCAATAGTTTGGTGTGCACTGTGCACAAGCAGAGTCAGAGAACAGCCTGCCAACTTAAGAGCTTTCACTTTTTTTTTCCCCCTCACACTTTTGTAATTAGCTGAAAATATGACTATATCCAAAGCCTGCCAACACTGTAATATCAAACCATTACTCATAATACATTAAAATTCAACACCTGTCTGAGTAGACAGGTAAAAAGGTACAAATCAAGAGCATTTGAGGGAACTTAAATTCACCATGGTCCATTCTATGCCTTTAGGAATATCAGATTAAGAGTGAACCTGACTGCATGACCATTATGGGGCGAGATGTATTCTGTCATTGTTGAGATCTTATCTTGTGTTTGACCTTCAACATACCATGTTGTATCAGACAGTCCCAGAAAATATAGAGTGGTTTGTCAGTTTCCATTTGACCTCATTTATCATTCTGTTCATATACTGCTTATACATTTTTGTTTAAAATTAAGGCACCCTGAAACCATAGCGTCCATCTATCAACCTTGTTTTTGGTAAACATTTCTACATCAGATGCAGCCATGGCCCAACTGTAAAACTCATGTAACTTTTCATCTTCGCATAATATTGCGTTTAGTTAAAAGTGCAGTAATCAGTGGGCAATCCCTTGCTTTTATATTGCCAACAGCACTAAAAAGGCTCAGAAATAATAAACAGAAAGCTGGATTTAACTACATACTAAAAAATTACAGTGGCATAAAGTCAGACAAAAGAAAAGGGTTCCTGCAGTGCTGCTTACATGCAAAACCACTGCCAACTTCACAAAGAGCAGAGCAGGTACATGTACAAAAGGAAGTAATTGCATTATGATTTAATTATATAATGCAGCTTTCGATATTGAATAAGCTTGAAGGCTCCACAACTTCCATAAAAGATTTAGTTTTCCCTAAAAATATTTAGTTGGCAATACTAAGGCATCATATTGACTTTAACATCATGCTTTTACCAAATGCACCAAAGCACATCCAAAAATTGGTTGTACTTCTCTGAACAACATATTTTAATGCCAGTAAACTTACTGGATAATTATGCTGAAAAAGAAACAGCTACAGATAAAGTGATAAATATATTAAAAGGAAGATTTTCTCACAATCCCATAGCAGCTTAAAGAAAAATCACTTAATATACATCATATTTCTTTAAAAATACACACATAATTAGTTTTAACAAGTGCACCCTCAAGTCTAAGCCAAATCAATTCATGTACTGCAGAGTGATTAAATTACGCAAATACGGTGATGAGCCACAGTTAACAAAAAGGTGCCAAATAAGGAGTACCTGGAGTAGTCGAAGAGGCGACTGTCCCAGAGGCTGTGCTCCCCTCTGGGCGGCGAGTGGAAGAAACATGAGTCAGAGCCATCAAAACCATTCAGACCGTCTTCTGTGTTCTTGGAGGCATGGCTGTGAACGACATCCAGCAACACCGCGATGCCCATGGAATGAGCCACATCAATCAGCTGCTTCAGCTCATCTGGGGTACCATATCGACTACAGACACACAAACACATGTACATGCATTCTTAGTGTTAGTTCACCACATCAAGATCCTGTCCTCTCTACTGATCTTAGCTCAGATAGTTCAAAGTGTTTGTCATATGCACAGTTAGGAAATGCGCTTCCCCATACAATGAAATTCTTACTTTGCCGTCCACATGAATGCCACACAATACAAATGAAATATAGATCTACTCAGACTAACCTTTCTTCTGTATTTGGGCATTTGGACCTCATAACTATACAAACAAAAGAACAGCCATGCATGCACATGAACAAACACAAGCTTACATAAATATTTGTTCTTCTTTGCATGGGCCACAAATTTATTTTGTAAGGTGTTTTCACCTTCCCTAACAATAAAGTTTCTCAGTCTAATTTTAGTGCCTATCCATAACACCGCACCCTACTGTAACATGCCCTTCTGCCAAAAATAAACCTTGTTTGTTGTGCACGACGGAATTACTTTATCCTTAACTTACTATGACACTGACAACAGGCCTGAAGTACAAACAAGAGCCAGTGCAGTGAATTTATATTGTCCTTAAAATGTGTATGTGATTAAACAACCAGAGACTATTGCAGGTCATATTATTTCACATAACATAACAAATCCTTTTCAGATTATTTATTTCAAGATCACCCATCACAATGACACAATCAAGAGGGCTTCCAAGGATTTGGGGATATGAGAGAATTTGTGTAATACTGTAACTCTTACACAGTCCTGTAATACCATCTACAGGGTCATTAAAAAAGAAAAAAAAAAAAAAAAAAAAAAACATCCTGAAGCACACTCAAAATTCAATGAGTAGCTGTATGTATGCATACACACCTCAATATACAAACAGCGAGATATTTTAGAGTGTACTTCACATATTGTCCACTAACGTCCCGTCTGTCCTTCCAGATATCATTATATCAGGTTCTTTGCAAACAGGACACATAGCGACAGTATTATCCGGCTTCCCGGCATTCAACTGCTCAGGTTTTAAATGACACTGAGAGATCAATCATGGGTGAAATTGCACTATATACATTACACTTTGGGTTTATGCTTTACCATAAGCAAGGATGGAGGGATCTCTGAAAGAAGATAGATACTTCGACTAGTCCACCTTTATCTATGACTCCCTCCACTCCCTGGATTAACAGCAAATGTATTTGCAGAGAGATTATTGCTGGTGTCAGACTTCCTAACCTTGATTGAGGTGACTGAGCTGTGCATGAAGTTACTTACTCAGTTATTTTCATGATGGTGTGTATCTACTGAATAAGTCCTTCAGAATAAACATCAATTTCCCTAAATCTATTAGTAGTTATATTAAGGGCAGATGCTGCATGTGGGATGTAAAGGCACATTTTAAAAATATCACCCTTAAGAGTTCAGGCTTGGCACTTTGGCAGGATTCATCATGCTACATTGTTTAAATAAAGAAGACTGAAGACAGGGAACAGTGTCCTTTGGCTACTAAAGTAGTGGTAAAATGTTGTCTTCCACAGTATGTAAAATGCACAGGTGCATTGCTGCTTGTAAATATCCTGAATTCAGTGCAGTAAAAGCGAATCATGCCACCAAGAGTAAAACCCCTACACCGGGAGGTAATTACAGACAGCTAATACATTTTTACTCACTATTGCTGAAACAATGTCGACTATAAATAATAAAATAAACAAGGTCTGACACAATGACAAACCTTAAATACTTGACAGCTTTTTTTAACAAGACAACTATTCAATTAAGTGTGTACAAAATATATAAACACTGTGAAATTAATAATATTTACCTGGAAGCAGCAAAGAAACCTGTAATCTGATATCCAAAGCTTGCATAGTAGGCATGCTCCATGATAGCCATCAGCTGAATACAGTTGTAACCTGGATGCAAAAGAGAGAGAGAACAGAAAAAAAAAATCCCCACACCATTTAATGAGTTTGCATTATGGTCTTTTTGACCCAGAGTGTTTTAACATTTTATTCATCTAAAAGGTATTTAGCTTTCTCCAAATCCACCTTTACACACAGCCTAGATTCTATCTTCCAATAGGCTCCTTTGAAATACGCATTACTCATGAGCACCTAATTTGGTAATGAATAATGTAAATGATCTTATTTTATGATCAGGCTGAACCTTGCTTAATGGCTGCAGCTGGAAATGCAAGACCGTATGTAGAGCTACTGTATGTGAACCAAAGCTTGACCCTCTATGGGAAGTAGAGGAACCTGCTGTTGCAGACTGGAGACTTCAACTGGCTGTCATTTTACAACCGCAGCAGGAGGCAGCTATCTTAGCTTTAGCACAGCTAGCTGCCTACACTCTCAGTGTAGCACCGTGCGGGGGGGTGGCCTTATCCTCGGGTATTCAGTTTCACAGTTGGGTGTGACATCACAACTGACACTGTTTCAACACTGCTCATTCTCAAGGAAGATTCAAAAAATTTAAATGACTTAAAACTAGAGCAGAGACGGCGTGTTGGGCCACCATGTGCAGCAAGTCTCTCAGCTGTACTGTAGGGATGAAAACTATTCTTCCAAAAGAAATTAGCTGGGGGTAAACCACAAAGTCATGTATGACCAAAAATAGGAGTGTGGAAGATGTTGTATATGTGGCAGCAGGAAGCTAATTTTTCTACAAATCACTGGAGGGTGTATTTTTCTTGCCAACTCCAATTTCTCCAAAAAGACCACCAGCTACTTGGACTGTACCAAACACTGGTTCAAAATATAAATATTTCTAATGATGTGTGGGGTTGGGCTGGCCACACAGGCTAAAACAATGAATGCACAGTAAAATGTTTCTGAATACTAAAACTATACATCTTTATACTGGTAACACTGTCTGGAAAAAAATCTCTACTGACATACAATATTTAGTCCCATTAATTTGGTACAGCAGGCATCTGGAAACATCAGGGCTTCATACCATTTGACCCATGTCAGTCACACTGTATTGTGCATCTGAGCTCCAGGCATTTCCTTTCTGAAACATGGTCTGGTGTCTTGAAGAAAAGCTGTGGCTATAGGGAAACACTACTTATCAGAGTCAGGAGGTTATACACAGCATTTCAAAACAGCCTATGAAAACTGCTTCAATGAATACAAAACAACAGGGTTTTAAACTGCCACCGAGCACTCCAGTGGGAGGCCTTGCGGTTTTGCACTGTGTGGAGCAGATTTATTTATTTATAGTACACAAATATTATATACAGTGGGTACGGAAAGTATTCAGACCCCCTTAAATTTTTCATTCTTTGTTATATTGCAGCCATATGCTAAAATCATTTAAGTTCATTTTTTTCCTCATTAATGTACACACAGCACCCCATATTGACAGAAAAACACAGAATTTTTGACATTTTTGCAGATTTACTAAAAAATAAAAACTGAAATATCACATGGTCATAAGTATTCAGACCCTTTGCTCAGTATTTAGTAGAAGCACCCTTTGGAGCTAATACAGCCAT